AGATTTTCCTCAAGAATTTGACGGTATTTTTCCCCATCCATTTTTCCTTCTATCCTGACAAGTGCCCCAGTCCCTGCTGCAGAGAAACACACCCATGCTTGGAATGGTATTATTTGGATGGTGAGCTGTATTGGATATAACCTTTGGTGTTTAGGCCAAATAATTCAATTTTATTCTAATCTGTCTCAGAATCTTCAAGGTGCGTTTTGGCAAAGCTCAGTCGTGACTGCATTTGGCCGTTCTTGAGGAGTGGCTTTTTTTTTTGCAACCCTCCCATACAAGCCACATTTGTGATATTGTCATCACATGCGCACATTGACCACTCTTTGTCATAAATTCCTGCAACTGTTTCATAGTTGCTGTAGGTCTCTTGGTAACCTCTCTGACCAGTTTCCTCCTGGCTCTTTCATCCAGTTTGGAACGACGTCCTGATCCAGGGAGGGTCTGTGTTGAAAAAATTACCTTCAATTTCTTAATAAATAATTTTTTTGTATCCATCTCCTGATTTGCGCCTGTCCACAGCTTTATCCGGGTGATCTTTTGATGGGTGCCCATAGTTTTTTAAAAGTGACGTGACGTGACGTGACATGTGGCCAAGTATGGTGACCCGTACTTGGAATTAGTGCTCTGCATTTATCCCATCCAAAGTGCACACACACAGCAGTGAACACACACACACCGTGAACACACACCCGGAGCAGTGGGCAGCCATTTATGCTGCGGCGCCCGGGGAGCAGTTGGGGGTTCGGTGCCTTGCTCAAGGGCACCTCAGTCGTGGTATTGAAGGTGGAAGAGAGCACTGTACATTCACTCCCCCCACCTCCAATCCCTGCCGGTACGAGACTCGAACCCGCAACCTTTGGGTTTCGAGTCCGACTCTCTAACCATTAGGCCACGACTTCACATAGTTGAGTGTTTGCTTCCGTTGCACTACCATGGACTGAAAAGATCCACGAAAGCTCTTTTCATGCTGAGCTAATCAAAATGATCACAGCTGATCACAGTTGAAAGTCTGGCTTTGTATGCCATTGAGAAGGTGATTAGCTACACCTGATTGAGTTTACAAGTCATTTTTAGGAGGGGGTGATTCTTTTTCCAACTCAGTGATTCTAGTTTTTAATTTTTTTCTGACATGTTGGTATTACATCCTTCACTTGGATGTAATAATGCTGCCTTCACGTGCTATCGGAATTATTGTAAATACGAGTTTCCTAATCGGAAATTAGACGTGAATGCCTCTCAAGACGTATTTACTACTTGGAAATTCCGAAATAATTTTGATACCAGTTTCCGAGTTGGGCGGGTCATAATCTTTAAACATGGTGGAGGGGACAACCATTGCTGCTGTCAGTGCTGTTCTCACAACAACTACATCCCTTTGTCTTGTAGTCTAAAGTAGTGTATTTATAGGCTAGATATGAACGATCATTCGAAGCATATTGTATGTTTTATAAGCAGTGAAATAAGCATGTATTTGACCGAAATTCCAGAACTGTCAGCAAACTGCATGTGTAGGGCGGTGAATGTTTATGATAGTCAACCAATGGGATGCTACATTTTATTCTTTCCGACATTAAAGCACTTGAATGCGACGCTCGTAATCACGACTTCATAAGTGGGAAATAGGACATTTCCGATAGCACGTGAAGGCAGCATAAGTTGCACTGAGTAAATAAAACAAAAACTGTGCCTGTCTTCATTTCAGGCTGCAAAGCAACAAAATGTGATTATTTGAAAGGGGGGTGATATACCCATTGTACTTTCTCCATATCTTTACCCAAGTTTGAAAAGTGCCATTACTTTTGCCATTTATTGTTTGGTGCCACTAGTAATGCAGACATAATTTTGTACTTATAAGAATGTGTATGTGTTGTGACCTGTAGGAAGAATTCTGTGTTGGTGTCTTTGGTGCTCAAAAGCATACGGCTGGATCCAGACGTTCCTGATGTCATAGCCAGAATAAGAGGCTTTTCCGATATTAAAACATTCTGCTCTCCTTTAGCCACACGCTCCACAAAATTTTCATAATGGTTGTAATCCGTGACCGGATGGTGCTGTTGAAATGTTTCGGTGTCTGAAATGATACAATAAAAACTACATCATACATTTTATGACAAGATGGTAGCACATCTCACTGGTTATTTCCATTCCATAGAAGCAAAGACGTAAAATGTAAATGCACTGCACACAACACTGTGAATTTTCTTTATACTACTCAAACATATGATTCTATTATATGTTAAATTAAAAAAATAACTATATCCTACATATCAGTGGCTTGCTGTCAGAACCTTCAAAAATGTATTAAACGCATAAATTATTAACTTATTTAAATTATTAAATAAGCTGTGTCAACGTAATATTTTAGTTTTTTCTATTTTATATAGAAGGTTGTATTAGGTTGTGCAGACACAGAAGCAAAGTGTCAAAGCATCTCGAAAACACCTTGGACAGATGTCCAGTCCATCGCAGAGCAAATTTTCTGAATTATTTTCAGAAATTAAAGGATGGCACTAAAAAACAAAAGTGATATGCATTTTTTGCAAAGCTACATTTAAGTATCACCAGAGTGATTTGTCTTTGTGCAGTCTTTGTTCAAGTGAAAAACTCAGGTGCTACTGTTGAGACATCAGGTATGTCAGTCGACATTACTTCAATGCTTCAATGTTGTAGGAGTGGGCCATTAGCCAAGCAAACAAATGAAAATGTAATGAGACTGTAGTTAAATGGACAACTAAAAACGGCCACCCAGCTCATACAGTAGAATATATATATATACATACATATACATATATGTATGTATATATATACATACATATATGTATATATATATATGTGTATATATATATATATATATATATATACATACATATATACATATACATATATATATACACATATATATATATACATATATATATATATATATATACATATACATATATATATAATCGTTAAAATCAATCACCTTTAATTGATCTGAACTCGTAGTTCTTGCCGTAAACGGTGTCGGAGTGTTTCTGCAGACGCTGGAGCAGAGTTTCCTCCTGAACGCGATTAATGTCCCGTGTGTCTGACTCTAGTCTGTTTCTCTGGCGACTCCCCAGCCAACCCACTGCTTTCACAGCCACATACTGAGCCAAAAGACTCGATATGGAGCGATTCTTGATCTTTATCTTCCATAGAAGAGCCATACAGCAGAGACACAGGAGCAAAAGTGAGCCCGCAGGAGCTGTTACACAAAACACAACAGCATTGACAGCGGTTGAACGGTAGTGGGCGCCAATAACACATTTAACAACGGATCAAATATTGGGCCTCATCTTCTTCCATTTAAAAATGTAAAAACGTACTCAGCTCTAAAAATGTGTAAATATACTCAATGATTTTATAATTAAAATGTAAACAATATATAACGTTAATCATTTATACAATTTAGATGTAGTCAAAAAAAAAGCCAAATTTTCGCTATTCTGGCAGCTCCTCTTTTTTTACAGTCTATGCTCCTCACCAAGAAGTACTGCACTTCTGATGGTAATACGTTGACATACTGTGCTATTTGGTTGCCTACTTTAAGGCACTTGAAATGATATGAATGTCTATAAAATGTCTATAAAACATGCTTATAATGTTACTTTTTTACATTGTTTGTTACGCACAAAGCAACCAATAATAAAATTGTATCTGCGTATTTTGGAATCAAAGAAATTGTTCTACACACTCACCACATGTAATGGTCACGGCCAATAATGCAATAAAACATGGTAATATGATCCACAAACGCTGATGTGTCTGCATCATTGTGACGGACTTGTCATGATTGAAAACTGAAAGCAAACACTGAAAACAACTTCATCTTCTTCTTCTTTGGGTTTTAACGGCAGCTTGCATCCTTAACGTTGCATTACTGCCATCTTCTGGTTCTAGTTATTTCCCGTATACTGTACTTTAGTCATCATATTCTTGTCATGAGTCCCGTTTTAGTCAGAAAGCAAATCAAATATTTAATTCCTTGTTCACTCCTACTGCAGTCCATTATATTATTTACTCCACGTCCTGTTAGTCCTATTTTTTCCATGTCATTTCTCATATCCATCCTCCATAATTCATATTTTGAACAATTCACTGAAAACAAGAGAAGGGTATAACTGCAGCCCGGAGATCTCCAAATGGGGGCGGGAACTCCAAAACGGGGTGGGAGCTCCAAAATAGGGCGTGGCTTCCTCCCATTGACAGACAGGCACATGACACGCATGCGCAATTTTTTCCCCAATCCACTTCAGTGCAAACTCCGCCCCACAGCTGATTCTAAAGATTTTATTGGTTGTGTCAATTAAAGTGTTGATTTCCTACACTATGCTACAAAAATGCTAACCCCTAAACCTACCCCACACCTGACCCTAACCTTAACCAGTGAAATTGACTGCACGGCGGGATTGGCGCTGAATAGCGTGGTAAAGAAAGATGCAGTTCAGGAGATAAACAGTTAATAAGATTATGCGATATGAGATCGTTCCGTAACTCCCCAACCGGACCTCACCGGACAATGGCACCTTTTTAGTTACACCCAGCGTCACTACACCCTCCTACCCTGCGAAATTCGTGCCCCGGGATGCCCCCGTTGCTTGGAACAAAGCGATAGA